TACAAATATAATGGTTCCAAAAGCCCTTTGTGATCTCAAGTGCTAGGGACAGAAAAGACCACACCATAGGTTTATCTTTAAATTCCTGGTTTTCCAGACATAGTAAGAAACGTTGTCATTTATAGAACGCTTGCTCTGACCGGTGGCTTTCTCTTCTGCAGACACAAGGACAGTGTGAGGAAAGCCCCAAGTGTTTCTGACAGGAAAGCATCAAGAGAAACTCCAAGAATCTGCAAGTCTTGGCATGAATCCCAATGATTGTGCTAACTCATCTAAGAAAAGGATGTGTAGATGTGAAGGGAAGTTGATCTCCTCTGGAAAACCAGAAAAAAAGTCAATTGCACTATGATTACAAGAACTCATCAATGAAGAGTTCTGAAAAGAACAGAGGCTATTTAGCAAGATAGTGTTCCCAGTGAGCTGATGCATCAAAGAGCCAATTCTTTCTGTGCCTTGATAAAAATCTTGATTTATACAAATGTCCTCACTGGACTCTGTCCTCCCTAAGAATCCCAACTCTGACTATAGTTCAGCTTTCTTTGCAGGTCGGGATTAGAGAAAGTTGATTATATATATGTACCATAGTAGTTAGCATAGCACTTGCTATGTTAATTAGATCCTGTTTTCTGTATGGTTTGTATTTCAGGTTCCTACATTCAACTGTCTGTTTTACTTCTTCATCTGGAACCTAATTAACATATCAATTTTAACTGGCTCAAATGAAATTTAATTTTCATTTCTAAACTCTCAGTCTTAACAGCATATGGACCTCAATTTACCTAAATACTGAGATGAAAATGCTGGAACTCATCCTTTATTCTACCATTCCTTCACTCCTTGTTTCTGATCTAATGAATTTTGTTGGCTTTTCTTTATAACAGATCTCAAAGTGGTACCATTTTTCCAGTTCTTCCTTCATCTGTTATCAAATGCTCTAATGTGAATATAATCAAAATTTCTCCTCCGATGTTTACAAAGATCAAGCCCTTCAAGATGTGGTCCATGGATGGCTCAGCAACACTCCTTCTCTTCAGTTAGGTTGTGTGCCCTATGGGCCCAGTTCTTTTCAGTTTATTCTGTTGTGACTTTAAGCCCCCAGCTTTCCTGTGCCTAGATTCCATTTATCACATTGGCTTCTTGGTTTAGAAGTCATCATTTCAGTACAGTGTTCCCGGAACACTTCCTCTCATCAGTAGTGTGCTATTCCTACTGCCCATCACTCTCCACCACCTCATCCTGTTTTGCTCTTGACACCTGTCACTGCCTACAATTACTTTATGTCATGTATTTTGCTGGCATCTTCTCTCCCCACCCACACCCCCTTTTATCTTATCTCCTAGAACATAAGGTGCCTAGAAAGGCTGTCTTATTTGTCTTCTGTGCCCCTTTAAACCCAAACTTATATATTACTACTCAGAGGAAGGAATGACTGCAGGAGTGGCATATATCTGAGTATTGATTGCGTTTGGCAGAGTTAAACCCCTAAGATAGACTCTGCAGCAAGATCCTCCCAGAGTATCGCTGGTGTGTAGAGTCCCTGGCTTTCCTCACTAATGAATATTAAAGGCAGCCTTAATAGTAGGATAATACACAACTAGACCCAATCAGGAATTACATCCTGGTGCTTTGGTAATGTTGAAAATTTGGAATATGGAAAGTGAAAAAGAGATCCCATCCTAGACTCAGGGGAAGGGGACAAATACCCCACTTCCCTGTGACTAACAGGACTCTGTCTTTTGGCTTTCTCAAGTCTGCTGCCTCTGCCAGCCATCTGAAGAGTCATTTCAATGTTTTTTCCAAAGGAATTCAGTAACTCAAGTTTTCATAAGAAGAGGTTGAGTTGGTGGGGATGGGGGTTCGGGTTGCATAAGTGCTTCCAGACAAAGAAACCCAGCATTAGGGAGCTTTTAAGCAACTCTGTATAAACACTCAACTCAGACTGGAACTTTTGCCTGCAGGTACATCTCCTTTGAAACATACTTCTTATCCTGAGATTGACAACAAATCTGGAATTATTTAGAAAACATATGGTTTTCATTTCTTTTACTTAAATATTTCTTTTATAAAAATGTGCATGAGGCTTCGATGCGTGGATTATGAGACCTGAATCCATGGCTTAGCTGGCTGTGTAGCAGACACTGCCCCTTCTTTTGAGGGCAAGGCCATTGAAAGGGATTTGGACAGAAAAAAGCAACATCTCTTTGAATGGATTAGATCATAACAAATTAGTTTCTTTTTTTTTTCCTAATCTTTAATGCCAAGAACTTCTTGTACTCATTTTATGTAAAATCAACAAAACATTAGATAATGCAACACATTTCCGCTTAAAAGAAATGTTTTCTGTGGACAAGGCTATATTTATTTCCCTTTTGACTCCTCAATTTAGATTTGTGTGAGCATTTAGGGATTACCTTGTAAACATCTTTTCTTCAAAATATTCAGTAAGAATTAAAATGAGATATTAACATTAAATTAATTATAAAACAGGAATTCTGTTTTTAATTCTTGGTTCTCTTAAATTCTCTGCAGCTATAATATTTTCCTAAAGCACTGCAATATGAATTCACCGGGCTGTTTGTGGGGATCAATATGGAGAACATCAAAAAACTAGGACTAGAGGTCCCATTTGACCCAGGTATTCCCCTGCCAGGTATCTTCCCAAAAGAATTAAAAGAATCATACCACAGCAATATATATGCACCCATGTTTATAGCGTCACAGTTTGTAATAGGTAAAATTTGAAAACAGCCCATGCCCCCATCAACTGGAGGCTGGATAAAGAAGATGTGGGGTTTTTTTTAATAAAATGGAGTACTACTCAGCCATAAAGAATGAGAAACTAGAGTCATTTATAGCTAAATGGATGAACAATGAGGCCATATTCTTAAACAGAACACACATGTGTAAATATCAAATAGTTTCTCAGGTGTGAGAAACTGAAAATGTAAATAAGAATCAAAATATATAATAGATAATGTGAAACAGGAAGAAAAGGTCAAAAGAGGAAGAGGAAGTGGGAAGAGTAGAGGAAGGGTAAGAAGGGAATGGAATTCATATGAGAAAAGGAAAAAATAGAAATAAAGTCTTTGTAAATGGAAGGGGTGGAGGGGTTGAAGGGAGGGCAGGGGAAGGGGGAAACAATAAGAACTAAGATATATCATGTAAAGTTACAAATTCCCAATGATGAATGTCATCATATTGTATACCTAAAACGTACCAATAAACTTAATAAAAAGAAAAAAAACAAATTCATAGGGTTGCAACAGTTATTTTACTTTATAAAAAATACAAAAAGGGCTGGGGATTTAGCTCGATGGCACCGCACCTGCCTCACAAGTGCAAGATCCTAAGTTCCATCCCCTGTACAATAAATAAATAAATAAATAAATAAGAAAAGAAAAGAAAGCATTGAGAAAAAGTATATAGTCAATAGGAGTTACTATTAATAGCTTTATTTTATGACATAAGAATTCAACCGGATGTGAAAAAAGACTCTGAGGAGATATTTTAAAAGAACAAGATAGCTAAAACAAAACAAAACAAAAAAACCCCTCTTCTACCTTTCTAGTAAACTAAGCAGAGAAAATTAATCTATGTTTCTAGTCTGTAAAATTACAAATAAAACTATACAATCATTTCCCAGTTTAAAAAATACTTCAAATGTACTTTGTTTCAAATAAAATATTATTGAGAAGTCCAAGTAAATTAGATTTCATCCCCAGTATTTGAAAGGGTGGAATTTCCCTGGAATTTCATGATTTACTATGGACCAATGGAAGCTAATAGTTATTTGAAATACTCCTTACAAAAAACGATTAAGGATGCTTTCTGCTCAAAGGAGGTGGTCAAGAGGTAGAATAGAGTTCTCTCCATGGTAACCCCCAAGCTCAAAATGAATAAAAGCATTCTGTAAAGTATATTATCCAATTTCACATTCTTTTCTCTGTTCATCTCTTCTGTGTAATCCCATATTCCTTAATAGTGACTTATTTTAATGCTTCTAGCCTAGTCTCACTGTTCTGTGGGTAATTAGTGGAAGAAATTATCTGTCTAAATTTTAACCAGAGAAAACAAGAGAAGATAGCACAGCTCATTATCCATGCCTTAAGCAGGTATGACAGTGGCAAAGGTGAGGAGTGAGAGACACCCTCCCTGGCTCCCAAGACTTAGCCTCAGAGTCAAAAGCCCTGCTGTTTGGTCCTACTTGGGGAGGCATCCAGAGCTGCCATGCTTGAAGGGGGTGATGTTGATTTGATTAAAGAGTCTCTTCTTATAGTTTTAAGAATGTTTGGAAAATCAGAGAGTTAAAAAAAAATAAGCATGTGGAAAGATAAATGAGTCCAGAAAAAAAAAAACAACATTGAGGGCCAAAAGCAAGCAAAGTAATAAGGACAAATTTCAGGCTCTACCAACTCTCTCTCTAGGCTTGTCAATTTTTCAGATGGTTGCAACTGATTAAAAGAATGTGAAAATGAGTGCTTGAAGTGAAGAAACAAGTCCAAAAATTTTCTTTTTAAATTTTCTTTATAAAACACAGCAAAAATATGTTCTAATGTAAAGTCCTTATTCAAAAGAAAAATATAGAAAAACCAGTATAATCAAGTCATTAGCTTTATTTTAAAGAACAGCATTTTCAAGGACCATCTGTTTTAAACTTGGAATAAATGATTTCTGTAAATATAGCATGCATCTAACATAATTTTAATCAGTCTAAACTAATTCGATTTTAACTAGCCTAAACTAATTAAAATTAGTTTATGGATGTGTCCCATCCTGGAACAACACAAAGCATATTAGTGCTTTCTTGGATGGCTTTCCTTTTATTTGTTTCTGACTTTTACATTCATTTTATCTTAGTGGATTACTAGCATCTTTCTTTCTCAGCTAAATTATGTTCTAGAAGAGTGTGGTGCATAAACAAAGAAGTAAAAATTACCTTCACTTTCCCAATACATAGTCTTTCTGAAGCATTTTAGTCTGTTGATCATGATCACTCTTACCTTAGGTTGTTTGCAAAGGTAGCGACAAAGTTCTCCAATATACTGAAACACCGTCACATTGTATTTCTTGCAATCATTCCAAAATTGACTTGCTGAGAATTTTTTCTTTAGCACACAAGTGGCACCTAGGAGAGAGGGCAAAAAGAGGCACTAGAGAAAAACTTCAAGGGCAGAATTAACATAAAAGACAAATGAGGTTGCTCTATCTAAACATGTTGCTCACTTACCAGACTTTTATAATTCATCATCAATCATTTATATCAAGCTTATTTGAATACATTCGTTTTATGGTCTGGTAACTCTTTAAAATATTCATGTGTATCAGAAATATGCTTTTCACAATTTGTGAGATTAAAGTAATAGTCAAAATAAATATAAAAGTTAGAAGTGTTAGAGCATGACCAGGGATGTGGGTCATTTTTCCTCACAGAGATGAAGAATATTCATTTACTTTTGACCTTGAATATATACATAATGTTTACTTTTAAAAGCTTAAGGCAGCCTCAATATACTTTGAGATCAAGATTTAATAAGACAAGTAAGATAGTATCAATAAAAAAGTTCATCAATAACTATAGAACCTGATTTTAACAATATAATTTTTTAAACAAAGAGCTCTGTAAATTTTTAAATGGAATATAATTCACATTCTACACAACTGAGATTTTAAAGTGTATAAGTCAGTACATTTTAGAATACTCACACTATTGCAACCATCACCACCATATAATTCTAAAACATTTTCATCATGCCAAAAGAAACCCCACACCCATTAGTAGTCATTCCAATTTCTCACTCTTTGCAACCATTAATATACTTTCTGATTATAAATTTGTCTTTGGTGGACATTAGATGTACATGAAACCATACAACTTATGATACTTTGTATCTGGCTCCTTTCACTTAATATAATGCTTTCTAGATTAGCTATGATACAGAATTTATCAATACCTCATTTCTTTTCATGCCAGAATAATATTCCATTGTGTAGATATGTCATATTTTATTTGTCAATTCATCCATTAATGCATATTTGTGTTGTTTCTGTATTTTAGCTCTCAAAAACAATGCTGACTGAATTAGATTTAATCAAAATTAGATGGTGTTTTGTTTCAAAGGATACTATCAAAGTGAAAAGATAACCCACAGAACACTCATGCACAAGTTTTTGTGTGACTGTATAGTTTTCAGTTCTCTTGGGCATGTATCTAAAAATAGAATTGCTGGATCATATGACTAAGCTGTTTTACTTTTTCAGAAATTTAGCTGTTTTTCACTGAGGTTGCATTATTTTACATTATTGCCAGCAGTATATGAAGATTTCAATTTTTTTGTATCCTTTCAACATCTGTTTTCTTTGTTTTTGGCTATAAGGGTCCTAGAGATATGAAGTGAAATACTGTATCATCATGGTTTTGATTTATATTTCCCTAATGACTAATGAGGCAGACGCTTTTAATTATCTACTGGCTATTTGTTTATTTTCTTTGGATAAATGTCTATGCAAATTCTTTGACTGTTTCAAAATTATTTTTCTTTTTCCTTTTTTATTGTTGAATTGTAATGGTTTACATATTCTGGATACTAAAGCCATATTAGATAATATGATTTGTAAACATTCCTATTCTGAGGTTATGTTTTCATCTTGATAGTGTCCTTTGAAGCACAACAGTTTTAATTTTGATGAAATCTAATTTAATATATGTGTGACTTGAGATTTAGCTATTTATCTAAGAAACATCTAAGTCATTGTAACTAAAATTTACTTTTTAATTTCCTTCTAAGAATTTTATACTTTTAACTCTTACATTTAGGCCTTTGATAAATGTTAAGTTAAATTTCTTAAGTGATATGAGGTAAGTGTCCATGTTCACAATGGACACATCCAGCAAAACATAACATGGCAGCCCAATAAAGTATACAATTCCCATGTGCCAATTAAAAAAATTACAACAGGAAAAAAATCAACTGACCATAAATGCATGGCTTTAATTCAGGATTCTTAATATTATTCCATTTAGGTATATATCTAATCCCATGCAATTAATGAATCCACTTTTAAAATTAAATTCATCTTAAATAGCACATAAAATTATACATTTTATTAAAGTGCTCTGTAATGTTGGGATACATACATACATTGCGGGCGGGCAGGTAAGTTAGATATCTTGTAGGCAGTTAGACAGGGCCAGCCCCTGAGGAGCCAACATGGAGGATAGTCAAGGAGCCAACATGGAGGACAATGAAGACACATTCACTGAAGTCCAGCATTGTAAAAGAGAAACCACTACACCCATATAGGGTAAATAGCAATGATTGATATTCTAAATAGGTATCAATCACTTGGGTGGGGGACCAAGATCTTCCAGGAAAGATCCCTGACCCACCCCTTACCACTGAAAATCCTTGCTCATTCTTTGCAAGTTTGCTATATGACTTATTTCCCCATTGCATCCCCATTTAATCAATATTACCTAAGTGACTGTACTTGTAATCTTACTAGTTGACTACAGTTTTGTCCCACATTGAACCTGCCTCACCTCATGGCTTTGTTCCATAAAACACCTTTGAGAAGTTGGGTGAGCAACCTACTTTCCGGTTCCCCATCTATCTGTCTTAGACAGAAGCTTTCTTTCTCTGGATAAATTTTTCCTACTCTTAATCTCTGCTGTTCCTAGAATTCATTCTTCTATTTTAGAGAAAACGAACTCGTGTTTCTGATACCTAGCAGGTTTGGGAGTTACATCTCTTCCCCCATATCACATACAATACACAGGATGTTGTCTAAATCAGGTTAAATATATCCATTTCTTCAGATATTTATCACTTGGTTCTGGTAAAACCTGCAGTATATTATTGTTATTTATAGTCACCTACTGAGCAATAACACCAGAATTTCTTGTACCTATTTAACAGTAAATTAGCACACATTTATCAAACTTTCATCATCCCTTCCTCATTCCTACTCTCCAGTCCTCTCATAGCCACAATTCTTCTCTCCATCCCTTCCTCATTCCTACTCTCCAGTCCTCTCATAGCCACAATTTTTCTCTCCACTTCTATGAGATCAATTTCTTTGGATTTCATACAGGGATAAGATCATATGGTACTTGCTTTTCTTTGTCTGACTTTTCTTATTTAACACAATGATCTTCAGCTCCAACCTTGCTGTTGTGACAGAATTTCACTCTTCTTAATAGTTCATTAGAATTTCATTGTATGTACATACCACATTTTGTTTATCCATTCATCTGTTGATGGACTCATATGTTGCTTGTCTTGGCTAGCATTGAACTGCAAAAACTTGGAAATGTAGATGTCTCTTCAACATACTGATTTCATTTTCTTTAGACAGATTTCCAGGAGTGGGATTAATGGATCATATGGTAGTTCTATTTTTTAATTTCTTTGAGGAACTTCTATACCATTTTCCATAATGATTACACTAATTTATAATTACAATAGTATGCAAGGGTTCCCTTTTGTTCTCACCCTTTCCAGCATGTATTATGTTTAGTCTTTTTAATAATTGCCAGTCTTACTGGGTTGATGTGATTATCTCACTTTTGAATTACAGTCCCCTGATGATTTGAATTATAGTTCCCTGGTGATTAATGATACTGAACCTTTCTTCACATACCTGTTAGCCGATTATAGGCCATGTTTTGAGAAATATGTATTTTGTTTTATTGCCCATTTTTAATCATGTTATTTGTCTTGTTGCTACTGAGCTTTTGAAGTTTCTTAAATGTTTGAGATACCAATCCCTTATTAGATGTATAGTTTGTCTTTGCCCATTTTGTAGATTGTCTTTCCATTCTATTGATTGCCTTCTTTGCAATGTGGAAGCTTTGTAGCTTGATGTAGTTCTATTTGCCTATTTTTGCTTTTATTTCCCATGTGTTTGAGGTCTTTTTCCAAAACTCTTTCCCCATTCCAATGTCATTAAGCATTTTTCCTATGCTTTCTTTTAGTAGTTTTGTAGTTTAGGTCTTACTTTTAAGCCTTCAATCCCCTTTGAGTTGATTTGTTTAACTGGTAAAGGATAGGGATCTAATTTCATTTTTCTGCATGTGGATATCCAATTTTTCCAGTACCATTTAATGAAAACACTGGGCTTTCTCCATTGTGTGCTCTTATCAACTTTCTCAAAGATGTGTAGGTGTGTGGGTTTTACCTATAGGGTCTCAACATTGTTTCATTATTCTATGTGCTTATGTGTAGGCTTGTGGGTTTACTTGTAGCCTCTCTATTTTGTTCCATTGGTCTATGTATCTGCTGTGTCTTTGTTGAGTTTTTGTCTATATGATTCCATCACTGAAAGTAGGATGTTAAAGTCCACAACTATTATTTCATTGGAATCTACCTATCCCTTTAGGTAGATTAATATTTGCTTTATATAATTGGGTACATATATATTTAAAATTATTTCCTCTTGCTGAATTGACCCCTCTGTCATTATATAATGACCTTCCATGTTACTTTTTTATGGCTTTTGATTTTAAAAATTTGTATTATTTAATGTTAAGTGTGACTACTCTTTTAGATTCCAGTTGAATGGGATATCTTTTATATTCCTTTACTTTTGGTTTAGGCATGTCCTTAGAGGTGAAGTGACATTTTTGTAAGCAACATATAGTGGGGTCTTATTTATTTTTCTATTCAATCACTCTATGTTTTTTATCTGGAGAATTTAATCTAGTTATATTCAAAGTAATTATCCCTAGATACAATCTTATACAGCATTTTCTAACTTGTTTTCTAGCTTTATTATAGTTACTTTGGTTTTTTTCCCACTCTCATAGTCTACTTTTATAGTTAAGTGATTTACTCTGCTAGTGTGCTTTGATTTCTTATTTATCATTTTGAATTTTCTATTACAGGTTTCTGCCTTGTGGTTACCATTAAATTACAAAAACCATATTTGATGATAACAAGGTATTTTCAAGTGCAGCAAAGTAATAGGAAATATAAGAAGGGAAACAATCAAAATAGAACAAGAGAAAATATGCTGAGAAGAAAAGTCTCCACTTGTACTCCATTCTTCCCTACATTGTAAATTCTTGATACCCTATTTATATCTCTACATTGCCTGTATCTTAATATATTGTTATTTTTTAAACTGTTTTGGATTTTAGTCTTTATACTAAAGATATGAATGGCTTTTGCACCATGTTTATAATAGTAGAACATTCTGAATTTGTCTATTTTTTGTCACCGGTGAGTTTTATGGCTTCTCATGTTTTCTTTTTACTAAGTAACATTTCTTGCTTTTAGTCTGAAGGACTCTGTTAGCATTTTTTGTAGAACAAGTCTGTTTTACGATATATTCTTTTAGTTTTTGTTTGTCTGGGAATGTCTTTATGCCTTCTTCCTTTCTAAAGAATAGCTTTGCTGGGTACAGAATTCTTGGATGACAGTTTTTCATTGAGTTCCATGAAAATCTCATGTCACTCTCTCCCAGCTTGAAGAGTTTCTACTGAGAAATCTGCTGTCAGTTGAATTCAGACACCATTATCAGCACTATCTCAAAGTATGAGATATCTCAAATATCCCAAAGTAGTTTTTTCTTTTCTCTGTGATCTTGAATATCTTCTCTTTAATCTTTGAAGGCTTCATTACATTCTTGAAGTAGACTTGGTTTAGATTTACCTTTACCTTTACAATACTCTGCCTCCTTTAGGTTCAGGAAGTTTTCTGTTATTATCTGCTTGAATAAGCTTTCTACTCCTTTGGTTCAGTAACCTGAATATTTGTTTTTTATTACTGTTACAAACTTCCTGTAGGCTTTTTTCAGTCTTCTTTTACCTTTCTCTTCTGTGTATTTTTAGCAGTCTTTGACATCACTAATTCTCTTTTATCCATTCTGCTGTGGATGGACTCTGCATGGTTTTTAAATTCACTAGTGTATTTTTTCACTCAGATCTTTAATTTTAAAAATTGCTTCCATTTCTTTAAGTTCCATTGTGAGATAATTGAAACATTTCTAAATTTTCTTCAAGTTCACCAAGTTGCATTAAATGATATTATTAAATTCTGTATAAATTCTCCCATACTGATTATTAATTGTAAATAGTCAGTTTTGGGCATCTTATGTCAATTGTTAGGTAAGATCATGGTTTCTTGAAAGTTCTTGATCCTTTTTGGTATGTGACATCATCTGGGCATTGTCCAGTCTTTCTAATTTGGCTTTGTTTGTTCCTGTCTTTCCAAAAATTCTAAGCAGACTACTCATTTTCTCTCACCCTGCAGGCACTTCCACTATTTCACCACTGGATGGCTCTCAGGTCCAGGTTAGCCAGGAAATTGCTATTGACAGATATCACTGTTTGAACACTAGAGGGTGATTCAAGCCCGGGTTTGTTTCAAATTCACAGCTGGTGTGTTGTTCAGAATAAACCCAGGAAAGAATCTAGACAAGTAGACTATACTCACAAGCCTCTACCTGGATCCAGGGTAAGCCCAGCCACTTGTAGTCAGTCACTGGAGGATCCTGCTTATCTCTGGGCAGAATTACTGCAGATGGACCAGCCCTAGGCTCCTATCCCATGTCTGTGGGTATCAATGCCACCATGCTGCTCTGTACTCTGAGCCCACAGCCCACCAAGATCAGTGTAGTACTGAGGAAGAGCCAGGTCTATGCTGCTATGGGCTGCCTATTGGTAAGATGAACTCATGGCACACAACCTCTGCAACTAGCCATGGGTAATGGTGGCTGGATTAAAGGTTTGATAAAATGAGGTCAGGTCTGTTCCACGTTCTTGTCTTCAGACTTGCCTGGGGATGAGAGCTGATAGAATCTGCCCAGTGTTATGTTTCAACAGCCCAGCACTAAGTTTCAGGGCAAAGTCCTGAGCTTATAACCCTACTCTACCTTGAGGATGTTGCTCCAAGCTATGCTGCTGAAGGTTGGAGTAGTGTTGGTGAAGCCAGTTCCTTTGGCCACCGAGGTTGATGCTAAGCTGGTTTGTGCCTGAGTCCCACAGTTAAAAGAACTTGTACAGTGTCAGTAGCACATCAAGACCCATGCCAGAGCTGGAAGATATACAGGCTTAATCATGAGTCTGTCCCATGGAAACCTAAGTTTATGTCTGGTGCCAGGAATTTCTATGGGCCCATTTGTGAGCAGCAGCCTGGTGATAGCTATTCTGCTGGATGTTGGGGGATGGGTAGTAGAGAACATCTCTTGACTCTCAGTGCTGACACTAAACTGGGACCCTCCAGAGTCACACTACCACAGAGACCTACACAGTCTCACCAAGTGAGGGTGTGTCCTATCCCCAGGCCAAGGCCAGAAATGATGCACACCAAAACTTAAGTCTGTCCAACATGCATGCAGTTCTCCACCTAATGCCAGGGGCAGGTCTAAAGCCTCTCTCTCTGAGCCCTGACCTGCAGTCAGGGCTTTGCTTTCTACCTGGTGCTGGGTCTCACTGCAGTGGGCCTTACACCGAGCTTTATGCTTTAGTGCCCTGCTGCCCAATGGGTGATGTCTTGTTCCCAGCTGTCTTTAGAGGCTGAAGAAGGGATGGTGGAGGCAGTCAGCCTCCTGGTCTAACACAGTTCCAGTGGTTCATTTGATAAGCACTGGCTTGGCATTAGCATTCATGGGTCTCTGACGTGTTGCATGGTAGTGGGTATCAAGTCTTATGTCTGGGTTAAGTCCCTCTCTCTTCCCCCAAAGAAGCCATCTCTCCTCATCCTGAACTGCTTGGAGTTGGGGAAGGGATGACATGGGCACCTCTTTTCTTTCTGCCTTCTCCAGCACAACTTTTCTTTTTGCTATTCTAAAAGTAGACATTGTGGGTTTGTTGCCTGATTTCCTTGGCTCTTGTGAAACTTGGTGTGCCTGTGGGGAGCTGGCCCAGAAGATCCCGCTCAGCTGACAATCATGGTCCACCTCCAACAACCCAGTTCAGACAGTTTGTCACATGCATATATTCCACAGGAAATTTTTATATCTTTCATCTTTATTCATTGTGGATATTGATCCCATTCTAAAAATCTTACATGTTTTGAATGGAATCTAGAGTCATAAGCTCTACCAACTGACTTCTTGGATACTTGGGCAGAGGGTTTTCAGAACTCACCTTCACAGTTCCTTCTCTATGCTTACCTTTGTAATGTGAATTTTCTCTTCCTCCCTTATAGAAGTGAGGGTTCATTTCTCAACTCCCTGACTCTTGAATCTGGGCTGTCCTGTGACTTGCTTTGATCAATAGAATGCAAGTGAAATAATCTATGTGATTTTTAAGATTTGGTCTAAACAGATTACACATTCACCACGTTGAAACTTTCTTACCACCATTTAAAGAATATGGGGTAAACCATTACAGGATGAGCTACCACAAGGAGAAAGTGGCCCAGTCAAAAACCAAACCCAACCTTATGGTTGGATTCCCAGGACTTTGGTCTTTCTACTTCAGTGATACATTGTATCATGAAAATGTGTCCTTTCAATAAATATTATGTTATAATTTTATAATATGATGTAATCACTCTGAATTTTATAGATAGATTTAAACCTTAATGAACTAAAGGTCTAAATATTAGGCATTTTGAAAACATCAAAAAGAAAATCAAAACTTACCCAATGCAACACATCCACCAATTCCAAGAAGAGCTCCTGAGCTGTGATACAGAGGAAGGGTGATATAAACAACGTCATCAGCAGTACAACCAAAAGCCCACAGTCCAGCAGAACCCTTTAAAACTTGCAATTGACTAATCACAGCTGCTTTTGGTAGGCCTGGAAGACAAAAAAAGGAAAGGAATGAAAATGATATGTGTATATGTACACACACACACACACAGAGTGAAGAACAGGAGTTCTCTGAAGAAGTCACTTCTACATCAAAAATCTTGCAGATTATTTGACCTTGGCCAAGTGGAACATCATGATTATGGAGAAACTGAATGTTGCAAGTGGAAACCCAAAATTATCTTGCAGTACCTTGGACTCTTTAGAAAAATATCCATTTACTTCTAAGCTTTCTATCTGACCTAACATTCTCATGAGTATTAGGTAAGCCTCTCAGAATAGATAATTAGGCTTACCCAGTCTCTAGCCTCCATAAATTCTATAGCTAAGAATGTTATAAGACAACATCTGAAAACTGTAGAAAAGATTTCCCTACTTTGTTGTATGTTGCCTACCTAATGCCCTCACCAATGTATCTGTTGAATATGTTGATTTATGACCTCATTTGTTTTGTGGCTATAAAAGTTCATGTAATCTCATCTACAGGAAAATACATCTTTCAGAGTAACTTGAACCCAAGTTGCCAGGCTCCAAGATCACTCATATTAACTATTTCTTATTCCATGAAGGTAGAGTTGTTATTTTGTGTTCACTATATACTTATAAACATGTGTATGTGTACATATATACATATGTGTCGACATATATGTGTGTGTGTGTATAATAGAAAAACTTTGCTGCTGACACAATTGAGACAAAATACAACAAAGTACGGTATATGCTTTGTAAGATGGACCATATCAATATAATTTGCTGCTGAAATTAATTTCTAAAATTTAGGTCTATCCAGAAAGTCCACCTCACAAAATTACATAAAGTTTGAGATAATGGCATTTTCAAAGAGCTATATGTGCTACAAAAATGAGAAAAAGGTCAAAATCTGAAATAGTATACTTTAAACAAATTACACTATAAGTCTAAATCATATTTGAAGTAAAAATTTCTAGAGCAGTTCTAGCTTCAAGCAAGACTCTTCATTTATAGGCCATTTGTCTGTCATATTCACCATGTCCTAGAAGATGATTATTATGGGATACCAGATTCCATGATACATAATGTTGAAGTTCATAAGCCAAAAGTAATTTTTCATTTTCCTTATAGTTTTCATGTACAATTAGTTTCTTATATAATTTATGTTCATGTTTTATTTATAAAAAGTTTGTATACTGCTTTTGTTACTTGGCATTTGTAGACATATATTTTCCATATTATTACAGACACTTTGTATTTATCATGTCAGTCTAATAGATTCATCCACTTAATATATAACTTAATAGGTTGATCCATATGACATTGCCTTAATTATGGTTGACTATTAACAATTTTATGTTTCAATTTATGAACACACCTTGTCTATTCTCATATTATCTTTTTAATGACATTGCAAGATTTAATTGTATTATAATCACAGCTTGCTTATCAGTTCAAAGGGCCTTAACATTTTTAGAATGGCTTCATGCAGAGTTACTATGGGGATGGAGTGGACCTCAGTGGTACAGTGTCTGCTTAGCATTCATAAGCACAAGGCCTTGCATTTAATCCCAAGCATCACAAAAATAAACAAATGTATCTCATCAATAAAACTGCTTTGTCTCATAAAATGCTATGGTGACACAGGATCATTACATTTCCTGGAGGCAAGCAGAGACCAATGTCACAGAAGTCATAGAAAGCAAACAAATGGAAGAATAAGTAGTAAAGAGTCACAGACCGCTGAGGCTTAGGTGTTATATTTTTTTCTATACCCCATGTACTGATACAGCCCGATTTAGCAAACTGTAAATGGGGAGTTGTTAATATCAGTGGCTCTTGTGAATTTGATGTACTTGATTTGACTTTACTTCCCAATTCTAGAAATGAAGTGCTAAGGCTTAAAATGTGTTTCTCAAACTTGGATACTTCTTCACTATTCTCTGCTTTATTCAATCTTAGGATTGAAGTCTTACATTAAAAAATATCCCCATGGCTAGCATCCCAATTCTATAACCAAAATTTCTTATTGCTTACTACATGCATCTCAGAATATGACCTGGCCCCATGTAATTCTCTGTTGCTGATACCTTCTGCTGGATTTCCTTCCCAGTTTTCAATTGTCAGATTGGCTCAAATCTTTTATATGATGCTTCTATTTTCCAACTAATTTTGACCCACATACTTGTAGCTATGTCAATCTGCCAACATATACCTAAATCAGATAATAGGCTTTATCAATTCTATAAATAATGAACTCATTTAGCTCTTATATACCTTATCTGTTTTTTCCTCAATTTTTAATTTTTATTAGTACATATTTGCAGTACATAGTGATTACATTCACCATGGGGAGTTGATACAAGTACATAACACATCTCAAGTGTTCTTTCATTTCCTTCCTCTCCTCTCCCTCCCTCCTCCCTCTATCTTGGTCCTCTCCACATTTGAAAAAGATTTTCCTCTCTATTACCTATTATATATATTTTATTTTGTTTTTTATTTGTATTTTTAATTTCTCATATAAGAGAAACCAATTAAGCTTGTGAGTCTGATTTATTTCACTTAACATTGTGGTATCAAGGTCCACTCATTTTCTGACAGATTACTGCAGTTTATCTTTCTTTGTGGCACAGTAGTGTTCCTTTGTGAATAAATACCACATTTTCTTTATCCATTCAGATGTTGATGGACATATTGGCTGTTTCCAAAATTGAGCTAATGGGCCAGGGATTTAGCTCAGTGGTGGCACACCTGCCTGGCAAGCACAAGCTCATGAGTTCAATTCCTTGTACCAAAAAAAAAAAGTTTCCAAGATTTAGCTATTATGAATTGTGCTGCTATGAATATGAGTGTGCATGTATCACTGTAACACAGTGTTTTAACTCTTTCAGAAAGATACCTAGAAGGGGAATAGCTGGGTTGAATGGAATTTCTAGTTTTAGTTTTTTTGAGGAATCTCCAATCCTGATTTCCATAGTGGTTGTCCTAGTTTACACTCCTACCAACAATGGAGAAGGGTTTCTTTTTCCCTGCAGCCTCACCACCATTTGTTGTTATTAGATTTTTTGATGATGGCCAGATTTCTTTCTGGAGTAAGGTGGAATCTCAGTGTAATTTGCATTTCTCTAATGGCCAGAGATGTTGAACATTATTTCATGTATTTATTGTTTTCTTTTGTTCTAGAAACAAATGTTCATACTTTACCATTAATTGGGCCATGGTCTTGCTGGTACTCTGGTGAGACATCATTCTCTTGCTCATTTCAATACACTTACTGATGCATGGAAAGTTTCCATGAACTTTTTGGTCATACTAGCATGGTAAGCCATGCATCACAGTCTACAGTGACTTCTAGACACTCTTAGGAGGGAAAGTCATTTCTGTACCTACTCTGATATTTCCTGTTAGGCTTTGTACCCTATGTCCATTAAATGGACCACCCTAGACCTCATATGTGAAGTTGGTATTATCTTGTCTATTACTCTAACTGAAATTCATTTATTAATATTCTCAAAACAGGTCTCTATAGTTATTCCCAATAGTTTGGAATTTCACAACCTGAGTTTATTGTCACCTGTATGCATAGATAAAATCTCCAACTTTCCTCCTCAAATTTATATGTGATGATATTAAATGAGATGAGGTCTATCCTTGACTGTTGAGAATGCTATGCATTTCTGTTCTTCACCCAGGGAAAAAATACTCTGTCTGCTACAGAGAAGTTCCCTCCTGTGGTTCTTCATTTATCACATCCCCAATTCCACACAGTGTCCATTGATCTTGTGGGAACCACTCAACTTTTAATTCGTAACTTTTCACTTGGAGGCTTGTCAGTAAAAGAAGGATGTTGTATCTAGTCTTCTCCTATGTGCTCATCTCAACCCTGCAAGGAACTTTAATACACTTATAAGACATGTTTCACTTTCTGATTTTGTTGCCTTGGGTAATGATCCAATTAGTGTGCTATAAGTAGTACAAGGTACTTACTCAGTGGATTTTTTTTTATAAAGCAAACAACAGATATGAACTTATCCAACAAACGTAAGTGATGAAATATGATGGAGTTTAGGGTTTGAAAGAAAAGAAATAGAAGAATAAATTGTGTTTGCTAAAAATGTGTTTTAAAGATCCCCCTTAAAAGATTTAGAAAGCATATTAACATATTGAATATCTCAAGAAGTCAAACAATACAGAAGTCTTGTTATATATATATCAATGGGCTTTCTAAAGTTTATATGACCATAAAGCCTTTTTTCAATTTTTATTCTATTCCTTCGAAGAAATTTACTTGAGAAATACTGCCCTAGATGATCTCTAGAGTTCTTGGCTCTTTTAATGTTTTATAACTTCCCAACATTGGAACATTTTCAAAGTTCCTTTATGTGAGTAGGCTATGGGAGTAGGGACAAGAGATAAAGATGGGAGCATAGATATGTCCAGTGAATTGGGGATTCATGAGGAAGATAAGCAAAGATAGGATATGCTAAGGGAAATCCAATTGAGGCCGTTTTAAGAATTACTTTGTAAATTTGGGTATAATGTTGAAGAATTCCATAAAAAGAAGCTGAAACAAAAGGAAATCTTTAAGTGAGTATAGAAACTGGTTCCTGGAACATCACAACAGGCAGAGACCTCATTTTCTTCCTCCTATTTGTAAAGTAGTTGAATGTGTGGCTGCACTGTCCAGACCTGGCCTGCCTCTCCTAGAGATTCTTGAGGCACCTAAACAAGTCTAACTCATAATGGTGGGGCTGAAGTTAGCAAATTGGACACAGTCACCGTCCCTCAGGACAGAGAGGGGAGACTGCAGATGACAGCAGCAGCAGTTTATTAAAGGAGATGAAGGAGTGTGGTGAGTTACACAGCAGACTCCACAAGCTGCAAGTCCCACACAAAAATAATTTATTGTAATTCATAAATTATTATAATTCATAAATTGTCATTCACATGTAAGGACAGAAAATAGACATTTTCAGACATGTGAAGGCTTAAGTTATTTTCCATATAGTATTTAATAGACATGTAGTGAAAGCAGTGCTCTGACAAAAAGTAAACCAATTTAGAAATTATAGGATTAAAAAAAGAAAAGTATTGAAGGAAATTCCCAAAATAACAGTAAATAATGAACTCAGAACTGCAAGAGAGCAATTGGTCAGGCTGGTCAGGCTACAAGAGTAGGAAGAAAGTGTCTGGTAAAGCACTCAAGAAGATGGGCTTGACAAAATATGTACTATCTTCTCAATATCTAATGGTAGTTACATTTTTAAAAAAGAAGTGAGTGTCATAAATTTGTTTAATGCAGTTTCTATCTATTCTTAGGCCTGACATAAGTTATTTTAAATCCAGTTGCACAATGTCACCTTTAGCTTAGTAAAAACTTGCTCTCCCCGGGCAATGGTAATATAGTCAATTTGTTCTTCATCTCACTGATCCAAATCCCAACACACCATAGTTACTGATGACAATAAACTAATGGTCAATACCAGAGTTAGGGAAATAAGTTCTCCCTTTGTCAGTGTGTTTGTTTGTTTGTTCATTTGTATTTAATCTAACCAATCCATGACCTCCAGTTGACAGCCTGAAGGACAATTCCCATATGCCTTAATAAAGGCATAGAAAAGCCTACTTAGTCTACCATTAATGTCATTCAATTTTTCTTAAAAGATAATGAAGTTAAACACATCTTTTGAATTCATAAGTGGCTTCATTATCCTTTCTTACTATTTTTGTTGCTTATCAAAACTTGATTGATTTTGTATCTGCTCCCAAAACTGCAATGCTTTGGAGACTTCCTTTGGTCAAATGATCCAATTACTCTAGGAAAATGAGGAGAGGGTGGCCACCTTCACTTAAATGGCAACAATAGGTAGACTATGTTAGGATATAACATTTTTACAGGAGTAAAGAGAACTGTGTTCAAGTGGATTAACATGTTTTTAAGTTTCTAAATACAGAATAATTAGTAAGTATTTAAAATAATTTCTACCTTTTAGACATAAGGTACCTGAGGATCAGCAAAGCCAGCAAAGCTATTCCCAAAGAAACTGGCCAAATACCAGACACAGAGACACTGTGAGGCTGGACAAGATCAAGGTCTTCAGACATTCCAGAGCCTTTTGTTCCACCAAACTTTAAGAAAACCTTATCAAATGAGAAAAGTTAACAAACATGGTGATTTGCCAAAGTCAGGGTAATTACCTTTTTAAAGTTAAACTAATTAATTTTTTTCATTCGTGTTTTAAAGTTCTAGGATCTGAGAACTTGGGTCTTCTGATTTGTGTGCTTTCTCAGATGTTTTAGTCCCTACCAACATAAAGTATGTTGCAGCCCCTCTATGCCTTAAAGGAAACTGGAACATACCTGTTGTTCCAGAGGTAAAAATATACAGACAAGTGGACTTGAGGCTTGAGACAGCATGATGACTGTGTGGCACAGGCTCCTCGGATGACGTGCTCAGTTTTTCTTTGAGTGAAATTACACCTCGTGGAACAGAATCTTCCATCCCCCAAACACTGACATCTGTGGGGAGGCTGGCAAGGATTTCTTCCACAGTTCCAAGCAAATCTGAAATATCAGATTAGAAAAAGGTAAACAAAATCTAAACCTCTAACCACTCATCCTGAATTTGCTTTTGTGTTTTGGAACAGAGATAAAATGTAAATGAAGTGTTGACTCCCTTCCCATACAGGATGAGCAATGCCACAGCTATCTTATGGTTCTGTTTCAACAGAACCAAGGAAAGGGAAATTTGGTTACCACCTGATTGAACAATGTGAATGGGTCAATTCAGATTGAATTTTGGATATTCTAGTATCCAAATTATGGATTTTCTAATTTCTAAATAAAGTCATTTATTACATTCTCTTTGAAGCTAAATGTACTGGATATTTTCCTTGAACTACAACTTAGTAGCTAGTTATTCCAAAAAGCCATGTGTGCCACTATGCAGTCTTGCCAAAATGAAATACACGTGGGAAAGTCCCCTGACTTCTCTGGAATCACAACATCATTGTGGTTTAGAGATCATTTTGGAGCCAAAAGCTAAGTGAGCAGATTTAGAGCAGCCTTTTTTCTCTGTACCATCATATTTAAAGATAAAAGCCTTTGAAAGCCCAGGAGGAAAGAACACCTTCCAGAAAAGGCAGTAGAATGTTCCATGCAGGGAAGAAGGTGACAATGGCAGCTGAGAATGGGCTGAGAAGCAAGGAACTTCCATCAGCAGGAGGACCTTAAGCCTCCAGCAGAAGCAAAATCAAGTGAAAAAGAAGAAAGAACAGAAAAGCCAGAAGAACAGGAGTCCTTAGTCCTTGGAGTCTGAAAAGATCCAAGATCTGAGTTGAAATTCCTGTTCAGGAAGGAAAAGGGATACTTTTCTCAGAAAGTATCTTCCACCAGGGTAAAAAAAGAGCAACCTCAGATGTGAGACTCTGCTGAGTTATTCTGATGAGACTGAATTAGATCACCATAACTTGGCCATTAAGGTAGAAGAAAATGTCACCTACTCACAAGGGCTAACAAAAATAAATAAATTTTTTAAAAAGGTAGGAATGAGTCCCTCTTGATGAAATGTTATATATTAAGGTGCCCAGTGACTGATGGGATACAGAAGAAATGAAAAACCATCATTCTGGTACAGACTTTTGTGTAACTGAGTGAGGCATAGTTTTTATTCCAGAATAGAGAGATAAAATTGTCTATATGTTTTATATTACTTTTAAATGTAACACTGTCCTTAGCACAAATCGTTTACACTGTAGTTCGACTTTTATATTCTACATGTCTACTCTAGTTTCATTTCCATAGTCCTATAATATGCTATTTTATTTATCACAAAAACTAATTAATATCTTGGGGATAATAAATGATGACACCCACTAGCCTTTGGATTTAATGCAAAGAAAGCCAGAGAGAACTGAAAACCTCCAGAAGCAAGAAATGGCATGGAAAGATTCTTTCTTATATCCTTCTGAGAGAGCATGACTATGTTGGTACTTATATTTTGGACTTCTAGTCCCCAAACTGGGAGAATACATTTCTCTTGTTTAAGCTTCTCGGTTTTTGATGCTTTATTACAGCAGCTTTAGGAAACTAATACACCAACATTTAAAAGTTGGCTGACAGTAGAATTGCTAATCTGACCAAAGTCTATTGAACTTTAAAACTATATATTACCTCATAAAAGAAACTGATGTTTAAGGAATAACACTATTAAATGTATGATAGAATTATCAGAATACTCAATACATGCAAATATGGACTTTTACATCTAAAGCAATTATATTTTTCTATTTTTTAGTTAAACTTTAAAAATAATAATAAGCTATATGTTGCTTTGAGTCTGAATTTGGAGTGTTGTATTAGACATTTTCTGGAAGCATAAGTCATTATCTAGTCTAGTTACCTCAAAAAGCCATCTGTTTCTCACTATTTATTTCTTTAAAAATGCAATGCATTTGGGGAAAACTCATGATTCACATTATAAAAATCTATAGTTCAGATTTATCATAAAGCAACAAGAGAAAAATACCAAATGTGAATAGGCAGTTCTCAAGTAAAACCTGTAAGATACTAGAAGGAAGCGCAGAAATGATACAGAATTAATATATGGCAGGGTTGTGAGGAGGATTTGGGATTTAAAATGTCTCTAATTTTTATTTCTAAAGCAAGTTCAAATAAAACAAAGTGTAAGAATCCAGATAAAATACTTAATTCTACTCAGTAGACCCAGCATACTGCCATATACACATTGCTTTGAAAAGGAGAAGTGAAAACCCTCAGGAAGGCAAGTCATAAGCACATGAAAAACCAGAGCAAAGGATTTGTAATTCTTAAATTTTAGTTCTAGATTTTGTTTCTACAGCTCTTTTTGACATTTTGCATTTATAAGTACAAGTCTCTGAACTGGTTCTTTTTTATTTAACCTAATTTCAAATTTGTCATCTGAAAGTATAAAATAATCCAAAATTTTATATGTTCTTAATAATCTGTACATCTAAGTTTGGAAAAATGAACAAAAAAGTTACAATAAGATTGTGAACCAGAAGAATGATAATGTTTACATAAAAAAGGAAGTGAGAAGAAATCAGAAGAAATAAAATTTCATTTCCTAAAAATTGAGTTGGTTTAGTTGAGGCAGAATTCTCAAATAGATTTTTTTTCTAACCAAATTTTTTCTTCATTAGAGGTAAAAAATGTGGGCGAGGATAGTAAAAACTGAAATAAAATTTTGAAAAGTCATGCAGGGGAAAAAGAATGACTACTTACTTATCACTGGCAATCTTCCTTGGCAAAAAAAAAAAGATTTTGTTCATTTTGAAATTAAATTCTGAATATTAAGTTCTGATACCAAATAGCATTTATTTAAACACTTCAAGGAATTTTGGCTTTGTTAAATCATAGACTCACTCCTCGGTGAAATGTCCACCACAGGTGCCTGTAGAAATGTCAGCACCTTGTGAGACCCATGCGTACCGCACTCCATCCTTCTGTGTCCTGAACCTGACTCACACCATGAGTGATGCATAACCATCTGGCTAAAGGAACTGAGCGCTGCACCAGAGGATCCACTATAGATGCAGGTCTCGATAGTAAACCACTACCAGAAAATGAAATATCTAGATCTCCTATGACTACCACTGTCTATATTGAAGAAGGTTCAGTGTCCCTTTTAAAAGTAAGTTTCTTTCAAAAATTTTGTACTTCTCCCCAAATGCAGAATAAGTAGGTGGTGTTGCAAGTAAAACATGGGCAAACTATGACCCCTTGCCTATGATACTTAAGCACTTTTTGCACAAACTGATTTCTTATTTCTGTGTCATTAATATCTTCTATTCACATCTCTAAGAGGGTCAAATCATTAAGTAAAAATTTCACATGTCCCTCAAATATATCATTAATGTGTTATACTATTCATTGTGCATTACAAACTTTATATTATTGTCTCATTTTACATAAAACAAACTAATATTTTCAAAGGTATGGGAAAAGAATCAATTATTTATGGCTCTTGATACTCTGGTAGATATTTCAACTCTAAACTTTTCTGCAGGAAGAGGATAGAGCTCCACAGTAGAACTTGTGCTTAGTATGTGTGAGGCCCTCGATTTGATCAACAGCACAAACACAAAGGCCCAAAGTTTTGTTCATTAATAAGCCTAATATGAAAATCATTTCCAAACTGTAAAACAATATTCATAAAATATACAAAGTAAAACTATAGGCTTCATTATATACATATAGCTATCATCTTCTTATGCAGAACAATACAACAGGTTTGCCACAGAACACACAGGTTGGCTAAGGTTTCTAAGAAAATTAATGCTTAAATAGGCAATGTTCTGAAGCAATGCATATTGATACATAGATATTAATACTTCATTTAAGGCCCAGAAACCCATTTTATCACAAATGATGTGCTAATTATTTTTACAAGCATTGCTTTATTAATAATAATCAAGATAACTCTAGGAAACACGTCATCTCTATTTTAAGGAGATTAAACATGAGATTTGAAGGCAATTGAAGGTTAAGAAAGTTATCTGACCTGCCTAAGTTAATAAATGATAGGGCTTGTGGTTTCATCCAGGTACATTGGACTACAAAATCTGTCTCCTGAAGTTTTAAGACCTATTGTCTCAATCACCATCTTATCTCTGAGACACAAAACTCAACACCCACAGTTTAAAGGAGGAGAGGTTTATTATGGCCCACAATTTTTAGTGGTTTCAGTCCATAGCTGGATGGCTTCAATGCAAGAAGGAATAGTGAAGGGGTCTGGCAGAGAAAAGCTGCTGAAGTCCTGGTGACCAGGAAGCAGAGGCAGAATGGAGGAGCCAGGGAAGGAGATTTAGCCTTCAGGGCCACGGCCCTGATGCCCTGCCTCTTCTGACCAGATCCCCACCTCCTAACAGCAAGTCAGCAATAAGCCTCCATGATTCATTTACCTTCTAAAAGCTCCACCTAGGAGGGCTTGAGGCTCCAGGGGGACATACTGGATCCAAACCGTAAGACCTATATTTTTTGCTATAATTATTTACAAAATCAGTTTTCTCAATGCAATTTGTTAAATAGTTCTAACTTTTTCCAGTCATAGGTCCTAGGTCTGAGTCCTTCTGCTGTACTCAGTTCTTTATTTAGTCTTGTGATCATACTGTTATTCAGTCGGTAAAATCAATTGTTTTCTTTTAGAGCAGAAGTAATCCTTGATTGACCTAAGATGGAAAAAATGCAAAACTCCCATTCTAATAAATACAAGTAAAAATTATTAAATGCTGTGAAACAGATATATGAAGGATATTGTAATCCATGGATAAGGTAATAAAAAGTTCACAAGAGGCATTTATTTTATGTATCTCAATGCATATTACTTTCTATAAAACTTAAATTATCTTTATTTTTCCAACCTTTCCTCTTGATGTTTAAAATGCTGTTGTCTTTATGGCTGAAAGAAATTTGGAGATTACAATGGCCCTATTGTTAACCACAACATTTGGCCTGCTGCAGTCAGAGTGCAATGGCTCATGAAAAGTAACAGCTTCATGCATTACTGTGTGTATAGAGAAAATAGAAGGTTTTATTTCTTGTGAAGAGAAACCTAAAATCCCTAAAGTAAGTTGAGACATAAAATATTATCAAATCTAGTAAGATGCAGTGACACACATCTGTAATCCCAGCCTTCTAGGAGCCTGTGGGAGGAGGATCACAAGTTCTAGCCCAGCCTGGGCAACTTAGTGACTTACTAAGACCCTGTCTCAAAAAAAAAAAAAAATCTTTTAAAAGTATCAGGAATGTAGCTCACTGCAACACTGGATTCAATCCCCAGTGTTGAAAAATATAAAATAAAAAAATTAGGGTAATAAGAATCTATAAAGTTTAGTTATTGATTATAATGATTATTATGTGATGCATTGAGAAAGGAGGGAAAAGAAAATATGCACGTAGGTAAATCTGAAATCATGTAGATGACTTTTACATCTAAAGCATTTGTCATCCATTGTTTAGCAACATTGATTACAAATAACACAACAAAGAAATCCTGGCCATATCTATACCCTGAAAACCAGTTACCAAATTGAGAAGGGAGTGTAAAATGTGTTAGCAAAGTTATAGAAGTCAATTAAAACTTACCAACTGCTCACATGTACCTTGTAGTTTTTACTCAATTATTCATCCATTAATTCATCCAAATAATAAATATTTATTGAACATCTGCTTTGTGCTAAATCCTGAGGATTTGGTAATGAATGAAGTAAACTTCTTCACCCCAAAGAGCTTACAACCTCGTTCTTAAACTATTCTTCATGGATACACTAATATCGGTTTGCCAATTGGTTAAGGGACATTAGGATTTAATTGGGTCACTCAGCACACCCGAGGCAAGAGGACTCCATGGAAAAGAGACAGAGAGAAGGGAGGAGGATAGACAGAAGATGAGAAAGAAAAGTACAAATGTGGGGAAGGCAGAAGACGGAGATGAGGAAATGAATAAGAGAAAAAAGAACAAGACAAAGGTCAGTTCAGATGGCTTTTTAGATTTAGCACAAAAAAATCTGGACTCCAGTCCCACAATGGCTGGCCTAGATTCGTGAGCTTCAGTAAATTACTTGCCCACTGTAACTGTTCTTCCCTCATGCTTAAAATAAGGTTAATATATAAATTCTCATGACCATGGTGAGGACCACAAAAAAAATGTCAAAGTAGCTTGTAATCTACAAGTTATTTTGAAATGGATCGGGTTATTTACTATCATCATCATTATTATGGATAAACATGTCAAATAATATAGAGATAATTATATATAATTTTAAAATGATATACAAACATCCTAACTTTTTTTTGTTTGTTTTAATTGAAGAGAAAATCATGGATTGGTACATGATAATCCTGGCAGCAGGGAATATTAGCATTATCAGAGTTGAAAAACTGGGAGTAAAACTAGGTTTGAGCTATAAAACTTTAATATTCAATAAGTGATTAAATTTCCCAGGGAAATGTGGAACCACATCACAACTAGAGACACAGATATAAGACTTCTTTGCAAATATTTGTGAGTCTTCCGACTAAAAGAATAATAATTTTGTAAACATTTTGATATTTTCTAATTATCTGTGTATAAAAAAACTGATGTCTTAATATAGGCAATTTTTTTAAATTTTTGTACTGAGGATCCAACTTGGGACTTTGTGCTTGAGAGGCAGGCAGCAGAATAACTGAGCTAAATCCCCGGCAATACCAGCAAATTTTATTTAAATGTTTTCATATAACCTGAATGCATATTTTTCTCATAATTCTATTACAATGGTATTAATGGTCTCAAAAACAATTGGATCATATAGTACAGGAGAAATCAGAAGGCAGGTTTGGAGTTCAGGTTCTGCAACCTACTAAGTTGAGTTACCTTAGACAAATTACTTAATGTATTTACATTTCATTTTCCATACTGTGGCACTGTACTTGAGAATGTCTTACTCATAGTCAAACTTCTTCATAGTTAACCAGTAAATGGCAACTGCTGACAGTTTTATTAATGACACTAATGAGAATAACATTTGCCTGGTGGCTTAGCTGATGCTTTTCCTTTGCTTAGTCCTGAAGACAGTCACCTGTTACCATGCAATGATGAACACTTCACCTATTATCAAGGACATTATCTGGCCTGGCCTATAAAACCTGTCTAAAACTAGTTCTATATTACTGATGAAGAGTATAATTTTTCTAAATCATAATGTGCTCAAGGTTTTATTTCAAATTAAGTATATACTAGTTTTCCTATAGCTATCACCAAATTAGATGCCAGCTGCAAAATGAGATCCCTTATCAAAAGCTTCAGGATGACTTTATAATCATAATAGCAGTTACTTTAATTTACTAAGGGTCTAGTTAGTATACACCAGGCACTCAGCCACTTTACAAAAGCTACTGTTATTTAATCGTGAGAATTATCCTGTGAAGTAAATGATATGATAACCATTTTACACCTTAGTAGAGTGGCACAGAAATATAGAATCCTAAACTAAAGGTAGTATTACCAAATAAGAAGTAGCAAACCACATGTTAAATTTAGATCCTTCTGGTTTTTCTCTATCTCAACCACTTGACTCCTCTTTCAATATTAATACACTATCCTTGGGGAGACAATGATTTCCTAGTACATCTTCATCAGATATATCTAAAATGGATCTAAGAAGTTCGAGCCAGGCCTGCTCTGTAATCCTAGCTCTTAAGGATCACACATTTGAGACATACCTAGGAAACTTAGTGAGACCCTGTCTCAAAAGAAAAAATATATATACTTTTAAAAAAAGATTGAGGACATAGCTCAGTGTAAAGGTCTTGGGCTCAATCCCCAGTAACCCCTACACACAAATCTTATTTATTAATCAAAATAAAATTGTCCCATTCTTGAAAAATGCATGTAATTTATGTTGTGGAAATAAAAAGAATCATTAATATGATTTTAACTTGACTTTTCAGGCTATGTATTTACTGAATAAATTTGTTAAATAGTTTTGGCTTAAAACTCCAGAATTAAAAAAAAACACAACTGGCTGTTGCTGTTAAAAAAACCCAAGCAAATAATGCAATTAATTATTGGCAAGCACAGCTAAAGCTGGCACAAAAGAACTACAGAACTATTCAGACCCAATTAAGCAATAATTCAGACAACAGCAAAGTCTGAAATCTCCATTTTGAGAGGTAACCAGTTCAAGGCGCTTTAAAAGGAATTCCTTGGATTTTAGGATGCTTCTCAGATTGGCCTCAACATCACAGCCACAGAAATCTTTCCAGGGATACTCTGAGACATGTTAGTTTGCTCTTCTAAAGGAAATTTAAGTTTTATCATTTTTAGCATAATTTGGGTTTTACATTTACCATAAAAACTCAGCAATCTAATTGGGCTGAATAATACTGTGAGAAATGGGATAAAATATAAGAGTGTATCCCCAAATGAACTTTGACCATTTTTTCCTACTGCATTTACATTTGCATTCACTGGCAAATATTGTTTTACTATATTACCAAAATTCTCATTTATTCTACTTAAAGCTACAAATCACTGAAAGTTAAATATACTCATTAGCCTGTTTCCAAAGTGAGAAGTTCAATCTTCAAAGATAGAAGTGAAAACATGAATTAGCAATAGTCAAGGGACACTTTCTTGCTTTTCTTCCTATAGCTCTAAAAAAGGTATAGTCAGTGCTTGAGAGCAAATATTTCATCACTCTATCAGGCCACAAGTTGAGCTGGAAGGACAATGAGAACTAATAAAAGTTATAGCAGAGCAGAGTCACTCTTTTCTGTATACTGCCTATTTCATTTGCAATAGTGCCAAGAGTCCGCCCACTGGGCAAGTGAGAGCCCAGCCTCGCTCTGGCAAATCCTAGCTTGCAGTCAGGAAAAAAAAAAAGAAAAGAAAAGAAAGAGCTGATATGAAGATTAGAATTTATGTACTTCAGAGTAAAAGCATCTTTGCTGAAAGTGCAACCCTCCTCGAGAGTATTACTATTAGAGGAATGGAATGTAGGTATTCCACATTGAAGTCAAGATTACTTTTGTACTCATCAAACACCTGATAGAGCTGATACAACGTAGAATTGACCAAGTTTTCTCTATCTGTATTCTCACAGTGACTGGTGGTACCAATAGCAGGGAAATCGTCCCCCTCTCCAAATGGTAGGAAGCAGAGATTTTGTAAAAGTTTTCTGAAATTATCTTGATACTACTAACCTACAAAAGATCCAGGGTTAAAGGGGGCTGGGACACGTTAAACTACTGGTCATAGAACTGTAAAACTATTCTCCATCCTTAATATTCACTCTTCATCACACACCCAAAAGCATGTTATGAACGATTCTACATAAGAAATACGACGGGAAAAGAAGTCTTTTCTCATTCTGCATAAGCCAACCACACCCGGTACTCTACCTGCGCCCACCACTAGGGCCCTGGGCTGGCAGGTGCGGACACAGTGCAGGAGGGAGTTGGAGAGCACGTTGGAGTTGAGGAAGGCCACCACGCAGCCCAGCTTCGCCAGGCCAAACCACACGTGCACAAAGTCGGGCTCGTTGCTCATCAGCAAAGCCACGACGTCCCCCTTTCTCAGGGAGGAATGGTTTAGGAAGACGTGAGCCACTCTGTTACTCCTTCTGTCCACGTCCTGATAGGTGTAGATGTCTCCCTCGTGGATGATGAACGCTTTCCGGGGTCGCCTCTCTGCCTGTCTCAGGAATTTCTCCAGCACGGTGTCCAGGTGCCCTCTTCGTTTGTCCATCTCCATTTTAATCCCATAGCGTACCACCTTCAGCAGGAACCAGAAATCGTCCCAGAAGTAAGGGAAGAGAAGTTTCTGTAGCAAGTGCAGGAAGATCACTCCAGCCCCTAGTCCAGTTAGCCATGACAGGAGCATGGGAGCCACAGGGCAGGAGAGCCCTGACCCCAGCTCCACCAGGGTCCCTCTCCTCTAGGGCTGCAGCCTCACTGCGCAGGGCGGGCACCTGCCTTCTGTGCCAGCCTTTCTAGAGGGATCCTGAGAAACAGCATCGAAGTTTGCACCCGGTTATGTGGCCCCAAAGAACGCTGAGAGCAAGGCTGGCCGCAGACTGCCTCCCACAGGGGCTGGGAGTGTACTCCCCTGGCGCCTCCCACCCTGGAGAATGGCTCCTGCTATGTCCTCCAGCACTTTCCAGCTCTCTAGCGGGCAAGCTGGTCCTTCCCGAGGGCCTCTAGACTCTTAAGTAAACCCCAGGACCCTCCTGGGGAGCAGCTCCGGGCCAGATGCTTCCTCTCCCGCCACACTCTTTCTAGCGACTGACTCAGAGGCTGAATTCTAGCCCGGACTGAGAAACGCATCGGCTTCCTGTCTCCACCCGCAGCCGCCACGTCGGGGCTCCCGCCGCGCCTCCTGGGGTCCCGGGGCTGTGCAGCGCCCCCTTTGCCGGCCCGGGGCACTGGAGCTCCGGTGAGCGCCCTGCCCCGCCAAGCGCCCGCCTCAGCCACAGCCCTTCAAGCGTCCTTGGCCGGCGTGGCTCTCCTGGGACCCGGCTGGGGTGTCGACTGCTCATCTCCTGCCTCCCAGCTCCCCGCCAACTCCAGCCGTGGCAGCGAGCCCGCTGGAAGAGCCGGGGCGCTCTCACCAAGCCCCTATCTGGGCAGCCAGCCCAGGGTCGTAAGGAAGCTTCTGGAGGAAAGCAGGATTGTCCCATGCAGGGCAAGCCAAGCTCCGGAGCACGCTTGGGAGTAAGGGGAACAGGGCTGCTGGAACTGGGTCAGACTGATAAGGTGGAAGAGTGTTTGTTGCACAAGAGCTCATTCAAACAATCAGCAAGTCATGGGAACCAAGCCAGGGGGTGGCCAAATAAACACACAAAACTACCATACTGGGTGCGGGGGGGTGGGGGCACAAAAATATTCTAACTTGGACACCGCAAGAATGGTATTCTGTGAGAAAGGAAGATTTGCACTCTGTTCATGGAATATTACATTTTTTTCTTCTCCAATGAATACCTTTTAAAACAGGTTGGGGTTTACATTGATATTGGAACTTGTTTTTAAGAGTGCCTACACGGTACTTTTTACAAAAGTTTTCCCCAAAACTTGATTTGAAAACCTAAGTCTATATTAAGATCCGTATTCAAAAAGCAAAACAAAAATTACAAAACGTTGTCTATTTTCTATCTTTTCAGAAAATGTAGAGAAGTGTCAAAACTTAAAACTAAAGTTCCTACAGGGGGCTTGGAATAGTCAAAAGGCAAATAAATAGAATAAAATTCAATACAAAGATGACACTTTTCTAAAGATAAAACACTAAGAGGCAGTTATTTACATGTTTTTTCCTAGCAAACATCATCATCACAGCTCTCCACTTTTAAGTGTACATAAAAACTTAATTACATTTATTGAAATAAACAGTACCTCACACTGTCAGGCTACACATCTTATGGTCTGTAGCTGCCTTCTAGCTGACCTCCAGTTCCCAAAGAAAAAATGAATGGTTAGCTCTAAAGAACAGGTTCTGGTTTATTATCCTGATTACTTCGAAGTCACAGTGATGAGCCCTAAATTAATATAGACTCTTAAAGATGCTTTCTAATTTTACTCAGAAGCTCTGATCTTTTCAATTCAGAAATACCTTGTTTAACAAAAGTATTTGTATCAAGTATTTTGCAACTTGAAAAGTATCTTTGAAATTGTTTGGTTTTCTTTCCAACTCTGGTCTTATTCAGTAATCTATTAAAAAACATTTTCATCACAAAATAGAATATAGAACAGTTAGTCTCAGATGTTTGGTTACCCAAAATGAGTAAAATCTGTCTTACTCCAGTGGAAAAAATACAGGAAAGGAAATATAGGTTTGCTAAGTTAAAAACATAAAATACACAGTTATCATCTACTGTCACTATTTCTTCAAAAAGGGAATAATTTATTTCAACATTAAAAAGAATGGAATATAATACCACTCATTTTAAAATGAGTAAAAATAACTTTATGAAAAACTCATTATGCTATACTAGTTTTCTTATCTTTAACTGTTTAACACCATCCCAAGGTGTGGAACTGATTTTTATAATTATAGATATATAAATAAGTTTATATTATATTTGACGCCATACTTGACAGACAGCTTAATTTATTGGAAAGAACTGCAAGCACATGTTGCTGTTGATTATGTAGGCCCAAACCAATTTAAAGCTGAAATCTCACCATAGAAACATGAATCAGTGCAAACCTTGGGGCAGTTAACATTACTGTGTGCATTCCCATACCAGTCCTTGAGTGTGTTCCCATGTTGTCCAGAAATTTTTCACTCTCTTTTAGTATTACCAAAGGAAGATAAATAAAATGGATATACTTTTTAGCTACAATAACTATTTTTTTTTAACAAGGGAGAGGCAGCAAGTGAATAAATCAGTCATTTAACTAAAACAAGGAGAAATAAGCACATCTGAATAGTTTAGACGTTTGTGTGAGCATGACTTTTGATCAGGTACACTGTTATATTAGGGTTTCCAATTAGGAAGAGTAGAATTTTTTCAATTTTTTTTAATACACTACTGTTTGAGAAAAAATTGTGACTAAATATAAATGGATGCAAAAAGGAAGTTCATTTTCAATCTATATATGCTTTCCTCAACCCCTTTCTCATTTCTACCTTGATTTTTCCTCCAATCCACTTTTAATCCTTCAGTTATTCAGTGTGTAAATCAAAGTAATACTGAACAGATGACATCATATGATGGACACTGACTCATGTCATGGGATTTTGCTGTGGCAACTATAGAATTCTGATTTTTTTTTCTGTCAGAATATTTTTTTCCAGAAGTCTTCTGATGCAGTTCTACAGCAGTCACCATTTGGGTTACAGGAAGCTGGGTAAGAAGCAAAAGATTTAGAATGATCTCAAAAGATGATATGTTGCAAAATGTCACAGTGAGTACCCTCTGTGGGACAAAAACTCCATCTACATTGACTACAGCTGGGAAAAATGGATAGAGGTGGAGCAGAATGAGTGAAAGAGTTGGATGGCTCTAAAGGAGGAGGTCTTCTAAATTTCCCCTCCCAAAATGCCCACAGGAACCATGAAGGAAGTGCTCCGTGAACTGGCATGGAGAAGTAAATAATATGGACTAGGAGCCCGTAAGAATGCTCAGTTTAATTCTCCTAACCTGGGATCTGTAAGGATTGCTGACCTTCTGTTTTTATCTGTATGTAAGCCAAGGCTACATTTCCTACTAGCACCTACAACAGAATGGCAAGAGTACCAAGGTAGACCATTATAGAAAGAAGAAGGATTCCTCCTATGGACAATCTTGGCAAGGGATCAGAGGCCATCTGCTTTCTAATGGGTCATACTCAAAGGAAAATTAAAGTTTCTCCTATCTTCATGACAGGAGGTGGTTTTACAATCTGGAGCAAAGCACTCTCAAAGCAGTAAGTTTCCTGCCCTCCCACAAAGACAAGGGGACAAGTGTTCTATCTTCCTTTATGACTACATTTTAAAGGAAAAAAAATAGAGATAAGAGTGCTGAATGCAGGACTTATCTGCTTTATAATTCTACCCAGAAACAGTCCTGCTCAATTTTTACTCTGATATCAACTTGGGTTTTGATGGGAAGCTTAATCTTCCTATAATCTAAAGTATATTTATATTAATGCATAATAATTGCTCAGAATATTATTCCACAAGAAGACTCATGAAACAAACTCAACATTAAAGATGAGGAATGCTATTAGAGAGTTAGGAGTTATTAACATTACTACATGCCTTGGACACATCAAACACTTCTTAAAATATAAAAATTTTATAGCATCAAGTAAGTGATCCCATAATAATAGTCTCTGGAGCAACTCCCAAACAAATTAAATATTTAAATATCATTTTTCATTCTAATTACAAACTCTACCTAGAAATTTATGCTGGTCAATATCCTAACAAGAAGATATCTTACACATGTATTTTATTCATAGTATTTGAAAATAGCTTTCTCTTATCCAGACACTTCTAGCTATGACCATCTCCCTTTCCTCAGTGTTGATAAAACTGACTCTTTGGAAAAGATGTTTATGTAAAGCTTTTACCTTTGACTGAGTCCTCAGAGAAGCTTCTTTTCTACTTTACAAGCCTGCTAAATGGAGGCAGGCCATTTGATAATTAGAAAGCTAAATCAAAGAATCTTTTTGGTAACCTGTACTAAGAATCCACAATTCTCCAAATGTTGCAGTAAATTGTTCCATAAACCTCATTCCTGCATGTGCGTAACAATGTCTAAAATTTAAAATATGGGATGGTGTGTGGGAATTTGAATATACAGAGTGTGCCATGTATCCTATCTTAATATGAGATGGAGTCTTCTGCAAATTCACGACATTTAATTTTTTAAAAGCTTTTCCAGTGACTTCATTATCATAATTTTTCCTTGGGTAGTGGGTGGTCCAGACCTGCCATGAGTGCCAATTCCAGCTTGTGGCTTTTTATTATGGATTCAACGTCACTTTTCTGGGTTTTCTTATTCTCTCCTGGTGATTGGGAAGCCAAGGAAGTCATGGCAATTGTATTTCTTTGTTCCAATTTTATTTTTAAGCTTTTTATTAAATCAAAAATTTCAAACATGCATACCAGTAGAAACAATGAAATCCTGACCAACTTCACCATATATTCATCATCTAAATTTAATGATTAACATTATGCCCAATTTCTTTCATCTATTTTCCCCTAATATATTTTCTTTTTTTTTTTGACAGATGAACCTTTATTTAAAAAAATAGCACTTCAAATAAATTAAAAGGGATAACCGTCAAGTGTTCAAATTGTGAAGAAATAGTTGAAAACCTAGAGAGACTCCAAGCTGTGGTCTTCTAACCTCATTCTTTGTCCAATGGCAAAAATCCACACATCTTGGTACTCCCACTCCCTTTTTACCCCACTGAGATGAGGGAAGCAGTTGCAAGCAGGAGACCAGACGGAGGAGAAAGCTGCATCTGATTGGAATGAACATCGCCACATACTTGCTAATACGGGTTTCACTTTATGACCAAAAGTATTCCTTCAAAAATAAAAAAGGGGAGAGGGAAGCTGCATATCTTTAAAAATTGAAATTATTTAGGGATAAAACACTAACTCTAGTGCCTTTAACGGGCAATACCAACTTTTTCCCTCTGAAGTCAAACACCATCCCCAGCTGAGCCTTTGTGCTACAAGCTTTTCAGGAGATGTTACCTAAACTTTATTAAAAGAAAAGAACAAGTTTAAATATAGACACTGAACTAGCCCAGTCTGTATTTTCAAGTCCACATTCTTCATCTGAAGCATTGCATAAGGGACCCCCCTGAGTCTGCAAGTTTTCAAGTTCACAGTACATGGAACCAGT